ACTTTCCCATATTGGAAATCTGTGGCTTCTCTCTTAGAATCTGAACACAAATTGTAAACCCCAGTTGTAAATATTTTTTGTTTTCATAATATTTTATAATGCATGACAACTTTTGTGAATCGTTGAGAACTGTCAGTTGTCATAAAAGGTCAATGGTCAGTGGTTAATAAATGCTATTTAAGTGGTCTGGGGGTTAGACTTCAGGCAGTAATAATACTGATATTTATAAAAAAACAAATAAAAATACAGAGGTGAAGATGGAACCGGTACTAACATCTGAAGTATGCCTGTAAAGCTATATAGATACGTGTCTCTCACTGTTATTGTTGTAAGCCTTTATAAGGCTTTTGCCAGCAGTGCAATGTAGAAGATTAGTTGTGATTATTTTTTTTGAGGGATGAGATTTTTTTTAAAGAATTCTATTGAATCATTACTTATTGAAGCAAAAAAGGCACATTTCTTTATCTGTGAGTGGTATCTTTAATGTATCTTTAATAATTCTCGATGAATGTCTCTTCCATTAACTTGATCAGTCTTTATTTGCATATCTCCTGCTACCTACATTTGATGCTACTTAAGTTTTGCATTGTAGGAGGGAATGAGCACTCAGGCTCTCTTTGCCACCATGATTTTTATAGATCTTTGTAGCATATTTCCCCAGCATGTTTTGTCGGGTGTTGGATGGAGGCCTTTTGCTACTTTCTCTTGGCTGTGTCATAGACTCCAATAAGTTGGAAAATGCCTTCAGCGTTTTCAAGTCCAACCGTGAACCTGAACCTACCAAGCCCCATCACTAGAAGATGTCCCTTTGTGCCACATTTAATTTTTTCATGTCACTTAATTTTGTTAGGTTCTCCTGCAGTTCTTCAAAGTTAGGTTTCATTGCTGCAGCTATGATTAACTTGATTAATTATGGTTAATTATGATTAACTGTACTGCCAACAAAACCTGCCCTTTTTTTTCTTGTCCATGTATGGCTGTACTGAACATTACTGATCCCTGTATAACTTAGTCTATAAGACAGAGCAAGCAGGTCATATGTAATTTCTTTGTAAATGTGTAAAGCAAAGAGGCTAAGTTATGGGAGATTTATTTATTTATTGTTTTTGAGCAGTTAATAACAACAGTGGGGAAGAGATCAGTTTGTTGTCTCATCCATGCTTCTTCTAGAAAGCTTGGAAGAAGTCCAAGTTGAAGTCTTAAGTTTGTCTAAGCCTGCCTGGCAGTTGTAAGCAGTAATGAGGAGACAGTTGGTTCTGTTCTCATTTTTTTTCATTATTTTTTTTCTTGCTGAGAAGTGGGAATATTCCCTGCACATACATGGGTGTGGTAGGTTGGCCTTGACCAACAGCCAAGCACCCACACAGCTGCTTGCTCACTCACCTTTCCTGCAGCATGGGGAGAAAAGAAGGAAGGTGAGAAGACTTGTGGATGGAGATAAAGACAATTTAATAGGGGAAGCAAAAGCTGCGTGTGCAGGCAAAGTAAAATAATAATTTAACGTCTGTCATCAGCAGGCAGATATTTAGCAGCTTCCTGGCTAAACAGGGCCTCAGCATACATGGTTGCTTGGGAAGGCAAACATAATAATCACAAATGTACTCAAAATCCTCCTTTCATCCTCCATTTATTTGCTGAGCATGCTATCATGTTGCTTGGAACATCCCTTTGGGCATTTTGGGTCAGCTGTCCTGGCTCTGTCTGCTCCCACCTTGCCCACAAAATGAAAAGAGAAAGCCTTGGTACTGTGCAAGCATGTTCTGTGACAGCCAAAACGCTGATGTGTTATCAACGCTGTGGGTCACAAATCCAGATTGCAGCACCATACAGGCTGCTACGAAGCATCCAGCCCAGCCAGACCACTGCGATGGGACAGCAATCAGACAAGAAAGGTAGGCAACCTTGTGTCTCATCTGGTGCTGTGCTCACCAGTTGTGATACTCTTCCAACAAACATCTCTAATCTTTCCTGTCTTCTGACAAAAGCCTTTGTTTTCCAATGATCTACAAAGAAATGAATGAAGCTGAGTTTGTTTCCCCTCTGCTTTTGCTGGAAGGACTCTGGGTTTGAAGTCCTACAGCACACCACCTTTCTTCCAGAACCTCTTTATCCCTGGCAAAGTGGTCAGTTATGCCTGGATTTTCTATATACACCGATAAAATACTGAAAATTTGAAGAATCCTCACTGCAAGGTTTTGAAGAAACATGATCAGTAGGGTTTGGTAGAAAAAGAAGTGAATAGGCTGTTTCCCTGTGATCAAGTAATGGAAAATGTGATGCAATTCAGAACAACATTGCCAAGCCATCTGTGGAAGAGAAGATGTCTTTCCTGGAACAGCATCAACGCAAAGTTGAGAGGATCACAGAGCTGAGAGAGACCTCGGTGTGCTGGTGTGGGGAAGTTGCGCCACCAGCAGCAGCAAAGGGACTGTCAACTGCCAGGAACATTGCACGTTGTTGGAACTGCTCCTCATCCAGCCACAGCGTCTGTAGCACAGATTAGGTTTTTCTGCACTGTTCATCTGTTAACATCTGTGATCTGTTACGAGTCGCTTTGTGAAACAGAAGCTGGGAACACTGGCTGCAGCCCAGGAGTGAAAGTTCTTGGCAGCCTCGGTTGGCAGAAGGCATTGCAAGTTACACACTGCTTGCTGTGTTAACACATAGGAATACGAAAATCATGGATTTAGGCTATGAATTGAAATTATCACTTTCAAGGAAGAGACAGTGAAAGGTCTTTTAAGAGTTACTGGGTTGAAATAGTGAAAGTGGCAGAGAGTGCTGGACAAAGCAAGTTGGGAAGGAAAGATGGTACCGGACCAGCTGCTGGCATCAACCTAATCTGGAGACTTGGGATGTTTGGACAGAAGAACTATCCACATGCAAAGGTGTCACTTTGCAACCAGAGGTCAAACCATCAGAGCACTGGCATTTCCAATTGAGGACACACATCTTGTGGAGGTTATTTAGCGTGAGAGGCTGCCTGGAAGCTGTGCATCAGATCCAGCTTCTCACCAGCAAGCCAGCAGTCAGCTGCTGGGGATGGAAATGTGCAGAAATGGTGGAAAATGAGTTAACCTGTCGAGAGCTATCACCAGGGATGTGCAGACTCACCTTTCAAACCGTGTTGGACAGTGTGGAAGTGATCCTGAGTTTCCAACATATGGGATTAGAGTGGACAAGTTGTGACTGATTTCCAGTGGCACGGTCGGCAGCGGGAGCAGATGCCAAGGCTGAATTTGGCAGAGCCCGACTCTGGTGGATGTGGCACAGAACAGTTACGGTGCAGTTCGGTGAGCGCTTCTGGCAGGTGGGGAGGGAGATGACTTTCCAAACCAAGATGTGAAAGTGTAAATAGTCAGCACTGGAACACTTAAGATTCTCCAGCCCATTATCGCAGAGACCAACATGGAGAAGGAAATCAGAATGGGGAACTGGTAGTGGATGCCTAGAAAAGCATCCAAAGATGTAACGATCACATGCAAGACTTCATTGGTGTTTTCAATATTTCCAGCAACGATAGTTCTTATACATGATATCTTCGTGTTTAGTACCCCTTGATTTATACTTTTTGTGCCTGTAATATTTTCTATTAACTTTTTAAGATGAATATAACCAGTCCTTATATCACCAACAAAAAGCCATTTTGTGGGCTTTTTTTCAAATTCCTCTTCAGTCTTTCTTTTCCTGTACTGGGAAATGCTGCATAAATCTCCTTTGAAGAGAAATGAGCACAAATACAGGCCAGGCACAGAGTGGACTGAGAGCAGCACTGATGAGAGGCTTTTTCAGATGGATGGACCAGGACTTCCGTACAGATAGAAATATCATTGCATCATGGAGTTCCAATGGCATTTTGGATTTTTGTTTTGTTTTGCTTTCTACACCTACCTAGTAACTTATATTCCAGAGCTCTTCAAAATTGACCTGATATTTTTATGATCTAATGAATTTGCTGATCTCTTTGAACATAACTCGTTCAGTACACGTTACTCTATATGGAAACACAAGAGTTTTCATTCATCTATATAGAATTTTATCATTTGTTTTATTGCTCAGTTATTGGTACTATGAGGACCATTCTCCAGCATTTTGTCATGGCCTGAGACCTGTGCCACTTGCCAGCTTTGTCATCTTGCTCTTTACCCCTTTCCTAAATAATCTATGAATGTTGACATGCACAGGCTCCAACGAGAATATCCAGGACTTCTTCCTTTCATTGAGAAACAGATCGAATCAGCCTTTCTTTTTTTTCTCTTTAAACCAGCTATTTATTAAGCTGAGGACTGTTTTTTTTTTTTTTTTTTTTTTTTTTTAATTTTTTTTTTTTTTTTTTTGCTACAGCAGCCTGGTTTCTGTAAATCTATGGTGGAAGTTGTCCATGTAGATAATCAACCATAGATCTTTGTTTGGAGGGACACATTTACCATTTCCTTTGGTAAATGCTACTGGAATTGCAAGGCAGCTCTCGTCTTCGCTGAACCCACAGAGACCTTTCTTCAGTTGTAGGGAATCGTGGTTGGAAAGAGAAGACTTGTCTGGAAAGAGAGCAAACAGCCATCGGAACAGCAAAAGAAACGAGCAGCAGGAGGGCTGTGAGAGTGGCAGGGGTCAATGGCATGGAGATTAGCAGGTTGTCACCATCACAGCATGTCTATCTGCAGCTACTGAGGACCTCCAATCAGGAAATGGACAGTCAGAAAGAGGCAACAGCTTAAAATGAAAATTCAAACCTTTAAGAAGGGAAGATAGGATAGGAATCACAAGACAGTGCAATAAGGAGAGATGTAATTCCTGATGGCTCACACAAGTGGGGCTGGATGGACAGACAAAAAGGTCAATATGTCAGCACCTAAAGGGTACAAAAAGGTACATTCAGAGCCAAGTCATACCCACCCAGGAGCTGTGAGGAGGACTTGGAAGCCAGTGTTGTCCTCCTTGTCACAGCAAGGAACCCCAGACAAGCAGGTGGGTAGAGGTGTCCTGGTGCCCAGCCACTGACCAGACCAAGGACATCTCCTTGGTACCTGCCTGTGGGTGTGGAAAAGAAGAGTTCTAACTCGGAACAAGATCATCTCCACCAAGATCTCATGCTGACATCTGCTATGCTGCTGCTACAATGTCACGTTTTCCTATACAGTTGAGCATTGCCACTCTCTTTTTATTGTAATTCTACCTACTCTACAGGAAAGCACTGATCCTATGGCTCCACAGATGTCACTGGGAACCCTTTGAAAATTTGTTGGCATATTGGCCACTTTCCTGTCCTCCAGTACTGAAACAGTTCTGAGTAAGAACTTATTCCAGCTGTTTCATCTTTTACTCCTTCAGGGTTTTTGTTTGAACATGGGGACATAATCCGATTAATTCACACACTCATTACTGTTTTGAAACTTCTTCTACCTGCATCTCAGCTTCAGTCAAATCTGAGTTCCCAGCGGCAAAAGCTCCCAGGGTAGGAAGCTCTTAGGCTCTTTTGTGATGCTTATAAATATCAGTATCTAACTTCTGATAGCCTTATCTTGGAAGACTCATTTTATGCTTTGATCTTAAAAGCCTTCTAGCACACTTCCCCCACCCCCTGATGTTCGCAAACAAGTTTGTTGTCCCTTATATTGCCTGCCCATTTGGATGTAAATTCAGTTTATTCAAGGCTTTTTTTCTAGCATCTAATGACTGCCTTAACCCAGTTCTCCTCCCTCTCCAAGTCTTTTTGGGCTTGGTGGCACACATTTACTCTTTAAACAGTCTCCAGTGACCTGCAAACATTTTGTCCTTTGGAATACTCTTTTTATTTATTTATTTAATTGATTGTAGCCTCAGTTTCTAGTCTTCTTTTCTTTTTCAAATGGAAGACTAAGAACATAGAAAACCTTGTTTCAATGCATAAAGGATGAACCAGCTAGAACAGTTTATACTCCATCCCACTCCAAACTCCAAGCTAGCTCTTGCCCCATCTCCTTGTCATGCTTCTCTAAAATTAATGCACAATACCTGCCATTTCCCCAACACATCCACCACCTTTTCATCTTTCCCATATTATTCTCTCACCAAAGCCAGTCAGCAGCCACCAATTTGTTTTTGAGCAGAAATACATGCTTATTTTTGTACTCCAGCTGTCACGCATAAGAAGTGGTGTTTAAGCTCAACAGTCAAACCTGGGCTGTCCAAGTGGCAGGGCCAATAACTCAAGCCCAAGAATCCAAGTGGATTTTCCGAGAATTCGAGCAGTTGCTGGATGTTACCAGCTTAGCAGGCTTTTCTATTTCTGATGGACGCCCTGTGTTGGCATCCCTGTGGATCTTAGCTGGGCTGTGACTCCTTGGCATGCTCCATCTCCCATGGTTAGCTGCTGGCAGATGCCACCATCCTCTCCATCCTTGCAGCAGGTTGTGGTTCTTGTATCAGGAGTAAGCTTTAGAGCCACCTTGCACACCAGCAGACAGATGAGAACTTTTTCAGCTACGGCCTCACAAGAAGACACTGGGGTCACCAAACTAGCAGTTTCTCCAGCCCAAGCTTGTAGTGTACCACAGCCAGCCAGGAGCTGAGAAAGAACAAGTTCACAAGAACTGGCAAGGACAAGAAGCACCAACGCAGCTGCTCCTTAAGGAAATGCTGAGGAACTCCCCAGGCATGGTCAGAAACATCTCGCCGTGTAGGGAGCAGTGGGAGTGGGGCTGCTGCAGCCCAGGCAGTGCCCTCGCTGTCCAGGGAGCTGGGCCAGGGCAGGGTGCTGATGGCAGGACCCGTAGGTAATCCTAAGCAAGATGAGATGATGAATCCAGTTCTGGGTCCATCCCAGAGTACTTGGGAGCAGCAGGAGATGTGAACAGAGACAGGATGAAACTTACACCAGATGTGCATGGATGATATAAGACTGGGGAAGTCACCTACAATCTAGGTCTGAGACACAGCCGAGAAATAAAGCTGGAGGCAGAACTGAAGACAAACCCAGCTGCTCACACCATGACTGGGTGCTCAGGCCTGACTTTAAGCAGAGCTCAGGGGCCACGTTCAGAGGAGGTGGGAGGAGGTCCCAGGTGAGGTCGCTCAGGGCAATTAAAGCACACTAATGCCCTCAGGGCCCTATTAGTGCTGTAGAAAGGGAAGCAGGTTCTAAGGGGCCTTGGGTTGGCTGCTTAAGCATTCAGACTTTCCTCATCTTCTATCCTCAGCCAGCACAGGCTGACTTCCCTGCAGGGACACCGGCTGCCACAATCCTCGCTAAAGGGGACAGGACCCAGCCCAGCCTCCGGGGACTGAGCAGCCACCTTGGCAGCAACTTGTGGGAGATGCAGAAAGAGGTGGGGGTACAATGGAGAGGTGTAAGTAGAGCACTCGGTCAGGTGTGTCTGGGTGTTACCGATCCCCACGCCTTTAGTAAGCAGAGAGACAGGAAGAGGAGAAGTTTCTGCAAACAAGAAATCTAGGAAGTACTTAGGGAACCTGAGGGTGGTTTGGGAGAGGAGATGTTTTTGTTTTTTGTTTTTTTGTTTTTCTTCCCCATTTTTTTTTTCCCCACACTGAAGATTGTGATGTTTTAGGTAGAACTCAAACATTTTTGAGTACTCAGACTCTGAAGCTGTGGGAATCTCGTCCTGTTTGGTGGGTTAGAAAATGATGTGATCCACACTCAGGAGGGGACTTAGTAAGGTGTTAGTGGCTGAGACCAGAGGTGTGAGGTTTGCTGAGCTTTTAATTTGCCACTGCTAATTGCTCAAGTGCTGGTCTGTCCTTGGCAGTTCATCTGAGTGGTGCCACCACAGAGAAATGTGGGGCTTCCTGTAGGTATTGCTCCTGGCAGGCAGCCTGTCTGGGTCTTCATGTCAAATAATCTCTGTGCCTAATGGTGATCCATGGGAGAGTGGTGAAAAGAAAGTGATGCCAGACCTCAAGGGAAAGGGGAGAAAAGCCCCATGAGCAGGCAGGGCCCTACTGAAGCTGCCTTTAGAAGCTGCATGAATGACCTGTGGTTTTGCCTCTCTGCCTTCAGCACTAGGAAAGGGGCTCTCTTCTTCCTTCCCAGCAGGGCTCTGCACACCCAGGGCAGGGCAGGGCAGGACAGGATGTCATGTTGTGATGATCTGGTTAAACCGTTCACCAAATAAGACTTAAATAAGGTATAGAAAAGTGCTTTCTGCTAGCTCGAGCTTCATGTTTTCTGGGTTGTGGCAGTTAACCAGCCACTAGGGTTTATGTATTGCCTCCTTAGGGAGCATGTAGCCAAGTGTGCCACTCTCCAGAGAGGCCTCGATCCCTAGGAATTTATCAGCAACTAAATTATAATACTTGGGGAAATCTCCCCTAAGCTGTAGAGCCCTTTGGGCCTCAGTGACTCACTGTTAATCATAGAATAGCTTGGATTGGAAGGGACCTGAAAGCTCATCCAGTTCCCCACCTCTGCCACAGGCAGAGATGCCACCCACCAGATCAGGTTGGACAAGGGCCTGTCCAGCCTGGCCTTGAGCATCTCCTGGGAGGGGACATCCACAGCTTCTCTGGGCAGCCTGTTCAGTGCCTCGCTACCTTTACAGTGAAGAATTTTCTCCTACTGTCTAATCTAAATCCATCTTCTTTTAGTTTAAAACCATACCCCCTTGCCCTATCATTATCTACCTGAGTAAAGAGTCCTTCTCCATCCTTTTTATAAGACCCCTTTAAGTACTGAAAGGCTACAATGAGGTCGCCCTGGAGCTTTCTCTTCTCAAACCTGGATGCAGGTCTCCAGATAGGGCCACATGAGGGTAGAGCAGAGGGAGACAGTCACCTCCCTCGACCTCCTGGTCACACCTCTGTTGATGCCACCCAGGATGCAGATGACCTTCTGGGCTGAATCATGTCTGCTTGTCCTCTTACTCCACTGTCTTCAGTAGTTTGGCCGGTTTTTGGCTGCAAAGCTTGTTTTCACACAACAAACTATCTGAACTCCAGGCTGAGCTGGGCTGCAAGTGCTAATGAAGCCCAACTGCAGTTTTAATCTGGAGGCTGCCCTGGGCAGCTGCTGTGGTTTCCAGGTCTCCAGGTTAAATTCTGCTCCTGGTCCTTCACCTGCCCCACCAGGGAACAGAGGATGTCAGCACAAGCTATTTTGGTGTGGGAGGAAACACGTTAGAGCTTATTGCCTAAGTCTACAGCTACATGTTTTGGAAGGAAGCTGAGCCATTGCTGCTAAATAGGTCTCAAAGACAGCTGTTGATAATATGGTGTGTCTGTGCATAAACAAATACATGTAACCCTTTACTTTGCTATGCTTTGGAAGAACTTGATCAAGTGTGTGTTTCTGGGTGTGACATCAATGTGTGATTGTGAGAAAACGCTCAGTATATGCGCCCTGGCACTTCTCAGGTGTCTTGTCACTGAAAGCTTGGTGGAGCTCAGCCTCTGGAGCACACTGACACGCTGCAAGGTCAGGCTGAGGACTAGCAGTGTTCTGTATGGCAGCATTTGGAAGCAGCAAGGGGAACGAGCAGATGGCTCTAGGGTTGGGGACTGTCTCAGGGGAGCATTAGGAACGTCAGTGCTACCAGGATGTACACCGTGTTATGCTCTGTGCGTGTTTAAGAGTTGGTGCATCTGCTGTGAGTGAGCAGGACACCGCCTGCATAGCCCAAATCTTCCTAGACTTGTGCAATGGGGATGGCTCTGCATGTGAACCCTTGAACAAACCTGTCCATCAGCCCAAACGGCTGCTAGGTAGCTTGTAGCAAGAGGGGAAGCTCTTGCTACTGGCTGTCTCTTGTCCAGCTGTGGTGCCAAGAGGACTTTCCTTAAGAGTGGCTTTGGTGCAGCATGCTGGTCATGAGTCAGTTCCAGCTGCCCCAGTGGGGGAGCTGTAGGTGCAGAAAGTTGGGGCTGGAGCCCAGCTCTAGGCAGGGCTGGGGGCTCTGTGCTTCCCGAAGGATTTGGCCCGAGGAACACTGGAGAGAAGAGGGCAAGGGGCTGCGGGAGGCGAATTCTGTGCTGCCTCTCTGTTGGGTGTAAGGGAAGTGATGAGGACACGTGAGTCTTTTAATAACCTTCATTTAATTCTTTCATGACATTGGCATGTGTAGAAATGTTACAGGCTCGTTTACAATACTGATAACATTTGCATTGCTGTGTGGGTTAATAGCAAAGCCCTTCATGTCAAGTAGAATACAATCACTTCATTTTTTTTTTTTTTAATATAAAATAAGTGCGAACTGTTATTGCTATTAAATTCCTGAGTTATGCTGAGAACATGTTCTCTTCACCTTCATTAGATGCTCCCTGCTGTCAGCAGTGTCTGTTCATCAGCCACAAAGCTCTGTGGTGTGTTATAGAGGGTTCGTCCATGCAAGCTAACAACTGCACGCAGGGAAATTTTCTGTGCAGGAAAAAAGAAAGAAACCACAACTTACCAGGCTTGTCATTTGCTCAGCATGGACAGTTTCAATAGCCAGATGAAACAACAAAATGCAGATCAGCTCAAGAACTACTAAACTGGCTCCCATACTGTCCTGGATTGCCTCCACAGTTTGCCTTGCAAGCCTATAGCAAACCTCCCCCGTGACTGGGACAGATCCTGCAAGTGAAGCTGGGTACAGCCAGCCTGGGCTGGGATCTGTGTGTTAACACAGTAGGAATAGATGCTACTGAGGATGAAAGGACCATTTAATGCTGTTCATGCGGCTCTTCCAGCCTCAACAACTGACCCATACTGGTTAGCTCAGAAGCAGGTGAACACAGCCCACCTTGCACCATGTCAGGATATTTAGAGCTCAGAGAAGCAGAGTGCTTAATGTTAACATTCATTTTACCTGAAAGTCACGAATATAGGTGAGGAAAAAGCTGAGGAAGGAGAATGCTAGTGACCACTCTGAGACGGTACTGATGATGTGAGCTGTGTAGCCCTGTATAACAGTGAGAGAGAGGGGGAAAAAGTCAGTATTAGAAAGTCCTCTTGACTCTGTAATGGCACAAAGATAGATTGCACATATGACATCCTGAATCCACAACTATTCTATTCAGAAAACAAAATTCCTTAGAGTATCTGGAGTCCCTCAGAATGAACTGCTCACTCATTAGAAGAGTGAGGATAACCAGGAAAACACCAGCTCCACACACCTGAGATCACTCCCACTGGGAAATGCATACCCACCTCGCAAAAAATGAAGGCTTAATAAAAGCTTGATGTGGCCAGCAACAAAATCCCTTTAAGGAAGTATTCCTATCTTCCAAAAAAGTTTGAGGGTCTCCCTGGGTGTGAACAAACCTCATGAACACTCTGTGCTTTACAGAGAGGGAGGGAGGAAAAGCCCTCCAAAAGCAGCCTGCATGAGATTTTCTCCAGCAACCTCCCATGCCTCCTGCAGTGACTGGAGAAGGAAGGGCAGGGCCAGGGATGGAGGCAGAGCCACTGAGACCTATGTGCCCTAGCCCCTGTTCTCCGTGCCACTCGGTGTCACATTGCTCACAGTTACCTGTAACAGTAACTGGGAACTTCTGATCAGTGTGGACCAGGTAGGTGGCTATCCTGACCACCAGTTGAAGCAGTTCAGTTACCGCCCATCAATGAGATGAATTTAAAGTGATGCTTGAAGCTGCAACTGCTTTGCTCAGGACAGCACTTCAGCAAGCAGCTGAATGCTGGCTCAACTGCTCAGGCTCCCTTGTCCTCCCCCATCCCAAGTACATGTCCTGAAAGCACCTAGCTATCTACAACTGCAATAAATTCCCAGATATGTTATTTACCCTGTGACAAACACACATTTTTTTTGCTCTGGTGTGTTTTGTTTTCTTTTTCTACTCACTTTTTCCTCTGGGTCCCAGTGCAACTTTTGCACTAGATTTGTGCCATACAGGCCACTATACAAGACAAGTGAGGAAACAAACACTAAAGAAATATGTTAAGGAAGATTCAAGACAAAGATTGAGCAACTTGGAAATGTCACACTTGGCTCTGGGTTGTTTCAAGCTGGGTTTGTAAGGAGATTTCTGTGTGTTTTCCACAAGGTCTCCTCAGCATAACAAATAGTAATGGTGATGTTTACAGCTTCACGTCATTCTCTCCAACTTGTAGGTTGTTCCAACAGTTGATTTGGATTAATGTCACAGGAAAAGATTAATTCTAAGCTACATCAATCATCCCTGTTCTCTGTATACTGCACCTTGTAATACCTCCTTGATCTAACATAAAATTTCTGTGTTATGTGAACCATGCTTAGTGCTTTCAGGTTTGCAGTGGTAGTTTCCAGGTGTGTGCCTCCCTTTCTTTGATTGCTTTTCAGCTTCTCAACCACCTTGAACCCCTGGTGTGTGGGTTACAGGCCAGAACAGTGAACTGTTAGCAGCAGTGCCAAGAAGGAGGCTACGAGCATTCCTGCTTCTCTTTCAGTCCACCCAGGGTTCGATAACTGGTCTGGTGCAGCAGCCAAGGAGAAATGCTACATGATAATGATTCCTCATTTCATTGGAGACCTGGGGTATTTCTAGGGTAATAAGATAATGCTTTTTCAATACCTTACAGAAGGAAAGTATGCTACACCAGTGCTACTGCCTTTGCAAGTGAAAATTAGAACATTAAGTTACAAAAGATCTGGTTTTCACATAACTATTAATTTCTTCAATCCTTAATGCGATTAAACACCAAAAGCCTCCTGATGTGCAAGATTATTTTTGGCAGTGAACGAGGCTGACCGTACTGGCACAAACATCTTTGAATGCTCAGACTTTCAAAGCCTATTTAAAACATTGATGTGAATAGTCAAGGGAGCTCTGTTACTGATCTGAATGCAGGATACCCAGCTCACTGCTAATTAAAATGTGCAGCTTTAGTAGCTGTTAGTTTTCTGCCTGAGTTACTACTACAATGAAAAGAATTTAATGGTTGTGATACAAAATATCTGGCTCCTGTTCTCCACTGGTTACAGAGCAGGTAATTAACTGTTTTGCTTGTTCTGTGTTGACAGTTCTGTCTCACTCCAGCAGGATAAGTAGCATTTTTAGATACATTCTGTCATTCAGTACCAGAAACAACCAAACAACTATTTTACCTATGGCCCTAGACTTCTTACTATCCTTCCCTTATTACATCATTACATTACTTAGGAACTACTCTAACCATTTCACTTTTATTCCCCTTCCATATACAAATGTATGTACATATCATTATTTTTACAGCTGTCTTTACTTCCCTCTAATTTTGGTTAGACCATATTGATTTAAAAACCTCTAAAGATTTTGGGCTTGTGGATTTTTTGGCATCTGTAAAAGGCTCTTAACTTGAATCAGTTCATATTGTTCCATTTTAGTCTTCTCCAATTGTATTCGTCCCTCAACTGTTCAAAGTCAAAAATACTGTTCTTCTCTGGCACCAACATTTTCTGTTATGGACTGCAATTCTCTGAAGTTTCACAGATGACTTCCTTACTCTGTATCCAGCCTCCTCTTTCTCACTTCTTTATGGAAAACCAGCCTGTGCCCAGATTATATCATCTTGCTGTAGGAATGGGAACTCAATGATCAGTGATGGTCTGTCAGTGGGAAATGGGCATATGGTTCAGTGTTAGTTTTGGCTGTCAGCCTAGAAATAAGTAAAATTGTGGGGACTAAATAGGTGGCCTTGATTCAACTGCAGAAGGGACAGCATTTAGGCAATGATTTTGGACTCATGTCTTTGGAATGTAAAGCCTAATGCTTTAAGTGTTGTAGTCCTGTTTGACACAACTGAGTCACGATCTTCAAAACACAACGTTTAGGTCCATCAGGGTGAGCAGAAGAACTGCTGGGGTTGTTTACTGAGTGGTAAATGACTCTGGACAGGAAAAGGCCTCTCTTTCTGAATGGGTTTGCCTTGGTTTCTGCAAAATCGATTCCTGCTTCCAGCACCCAGAATTCAAAGGTAAGGGGAAGGATGGGTTCCAGAGCCAAGGGAAGCTTGTAAGGAATGTGTGTCAGAAACTTGGATCTAGAACTCCAGGATGGGCAGGGGAGGAGCTCAGAGGTCAAATGGCTCTTCTGACTCCACCTTGGCAGTGTGCTCCAGAGTTGTCACTCTGATAAATGCCAGCACTTTAAACATGCTCCGTGTGCCAGCTGGCATGGTGCACTACTGCTGCACACAGCTGGGTTACTAGTGTTCTATGCTGCATTCGGTACTTCTCCGTTCTAGGTATATCCAACTACAAAACTTGCTGCAGCACTCCTGTCATCAGGGAGCTGACACTTTCATTTCTTACCTGGCTTTTTTTCCCCCCATTAAAACCATCAGTCTCTGAAGTACACTTCCCTTTCTCCCTAACAATCACAGTCTACAGTCAGGCCTCTTTGTGAATTCTTATTTTGCGATTTTCAATCTTAGGTGCAGGAGGAAGGGAGAGGAGAGGGGATGATGACTACTCTTGCCGTTTTTATTGGCTTGTGACTCACTAGCTGGCTTAACCTGATGGCTCCCTTCTTCCTAGTTCCCAGGTTGCAAAACTGAACATGAATACTATGGTACAAGCTGTGTGTCTAACGATGACAGACCTTCTGTGGCACACTCTGTCGTATTGGCAGGCTAAATAAATGTTGCTGCATTTTGCAGCAAAAGGATACTGCTTGCAATGCTTGAGCTGCACCAGAGTAACACGGTCAGACGGATCCAAAAGACGTCTTTGCTGTGAATTTCTGGCTGCATCAGGTAGGATAGGACGGTCTGAACCAGCATGTAAATGGCTCCAACTCCGAACGTCAGGCAGGCTCCAACCACGTGTACGTAGTACAGAACAGATTTCTAGGGAAAGAAAGCACTGCTTGTATAGAACCTGGCTTTGTCTTAAACTTGGGGAATATTTTCTTTTGTAAATGTTTGACACTCCACCCGCTCAATCATCTTCTCATATGCCAAGCTAAAGTGTTCAGGACTGCGTCAGCATGTGGATTTTCTTGGAAATCTCAGAGTCAGCTGGAAGCCAGCACCTGCCAGCTCTCTGTATTGCTGTTTTTTGGCAAGTTCTTGGGGCTAAGTTAGAGACCACAACTATATCTTAACTACAGGAATTCATAAAAGCTGCCCTCACTACCACACTGGGTGATAAAATAGAAACTGGATGGCGGAATCCCTGCAGCTGCGAAGGCAGCAAGAGTGACAACAGGCTACCTGCTGAACATTTCTATCCCAGGAATTTCTGCATCTATGAAGGATAATGCAATAGAGGACAAACATGATGCACAATTCTAGTCCCCCGCAAAGAAGTTAAAGATAATGAGGTTTAGCGCTGCTCTGAATGACTCCAGTTTGAACAAGCCTTGCTTGTCAAATTAGAATCTTCGAATACTCAGAGGGAACAAGGTGGAATCAAACAGTAATAAACACGTTAGGAGAATCAACTGTCAAATAATAATCATTAAACCTAGAAGCTATTCCAAGAAAAACAATCAAACTCGAAATTTATGTTGTTACAAACTACGTCACACTCAGTCCTTTCCTCTTATCCCTGACTGAGCAAAGTAGCCAAACACAGCAAATAAAAAGCATCTTGTCAATTGTACAACACATTGGCAGCCCCTCTGCAATCCAATTCTGCAAGTAATCTTTTATGCTCTAATGAATGAGACTATGTATGTTACTGAATAGCTATTAAGATCAGGAATTGGAATCACCCTTTCCTCACAATCTCTGTGCGCAGATTAATTAAATGATATTTAACTGCTGCATCCACAGCAGTGTAACAATTTGCATGTGAATAGCCAAGCTGTAAAAGTGTGTGTCCAGTGCTGCTCAGTAAGGTGTCAGCAGAGAGAAATCTTTCTCCGATGTAAGAAATCAATAGCCACAGCTACAACTGAGCCATAGCACTGGCTGAACAGCATAAATCAAATCCCCTCTGAGCCTTGTGCCATCACTTTTACTCCCAACCAATGAAAGCTGTCTGCGGCTCTGCTGTTCCCTTTAAGCATCTTTGTACATTTTCAAATTCATTTGTCTTCAGTAACTAGTGGACTTCATAGGCCTTAGCTCCTTTTGCTTCTGGGATGGCCTCTAGACAATCCTCAGCATCACTTGGATATGCAGGTATGCAGGTACATAATTTCCACTTTTTTCTTGCTCAAGATTAAATGTCACAGAAACTATATAATAAAGGAACACTCACTTTCTACATTTTGATTATCTACAAGACATAGATATAACCTCTCCTGACCAGTGGTGGAAGACAATCATGCAGCTAGACACAACCTGGAAGCTCTTGCTTGGTGGTTATGTTGGTAGGGGCTGTGGCCAGCGAGTCTGGCTAGAGTGCTAAAAAATATAGATTGAGGCCTCAAAAAAAAAAAAAGTCAGCATACTGAAGTTGCTGCGACATGGGATGCTGAAAAAATTGGGAGAGCTGTGCTGTGGGGAAAGGAGATGAGAGAAAAAAAGGTGGAGATTTCCTGGAGCTTTTCTGTTTTTCTGTTTCGCTTTTCCTTGGCCCTAATCCAGCAGGAGCCACTGCAGCCTCTAGTGGCTAAAGGCACTACTACAGACGCCTGAAAAATCCAGCTCGTAATTAATATGATGAGGCTGGCAAGTACACAACCGTCTCGCATGTAACAGCCAGCAATCCTGAATCTAGTCCTGCTGATGGTGTGATATGTGAGAATATCTGGTTTTGAAAAAGCAAGGGAAAAAAGATATTGAGGAAAAAACATAGAGACACTGGGAGAAATTCAAAAGCTGGTTGACATTGCAGTGTTTTCAACAATTGCACAGGTTTTGCAGGAAAAGATACGTAGGAGGGAAGATTTTTCAGAGTAAGAGTTCTTGTGGGGTTGGGTGTTTTTGCTGGCTTTACTTCTAGTTCTAACAGTTTTTGACTATTTGACACTTGATTCTCCCGTATTAAAATATGATATAATTGTGGTCTTCTCATCTGGAGTTAAGGCTTTCAAATCTCCTACAAGGAGATGCAAGATGAGTTTGCTTCTTGCAAAACTTCTGATTTTTGTTTTTAAATGGCTTGGAATTTTGTGAATGTCTGCTCACAAATTCCAGTGGATAAAGCAAATAAGAAATATGTAAAGAAATTCCAAACTATTAACAGTTCTCTATAGGGAATTTGATTAAAAAAAAAAAAAAAGTTTTTCCTCAAAAGTTTTGCCTTTAATAACGCCCCAGTTTTACCAGGTATCTCAGTAAACAAACAAACACAGAACTCTGGACAGGTTCAAAACATTGCAAGCAAAGCACAAACCTGGAAATTTGCAATAATACAAAGTCCAAAACAGCTTATCAGTCCTAGAGTCAGGCCGATCTTATTAAGCTTGATGATCTTGGATTTTTCTGGATTCAAAGCACAAACTTGCTTATAACGGACATACATGGTAGCCACACCTGCAAATGAAAATCACAAATGTGTTTAAGATTTTAAGCTGTCAAGTAAACTGTTTTGTTTGAACTGCGAAGATGCTGAGTGACAGTAGCATCTATTTAAAATACCAAAACTGTCTTAGGAATAGGACAGTTGAGAATTTGGAAGCCAAAACTGAAATAACTTATTGGATTTTTCTTAGAATCATAGAATCAGTAAGGTTGGAAAATACCTTATCTCTTTCACTTGAAAAACGTATTGTTTTTTTCCCCTCTCCGTAACTGCAGCACAAGTAAGATGACTGCCTTAACTCTGCATTTCTATTTCTCATAACAGTTTCTTTGTTTGTCTTTTTTAAATGTATTTTGGCCTTCTGGAATCTGCAATTGTCATGCTGGCTTTGTGGGTAAATCCCTGCAATATACTTTTCTCTGAATTACTTAAGAGAACTAGGATTAATTGCTTAAAATTTAGCTTTTAATGAGAATTATGGGATGTTTTAATGATCTGAATAAGGAAACCATTTCAAACGCTGTGCATCCCAGAACTGCATGCAGTTTGCCATGGACAGCTTTCTATACTCACCCAAGAAAGCTGAAATATTTAACATGATCCCAAACAAGCATCTTTCTGGAGGTATTGTCCCTGTATCACTGGAAGAGATAAATGGAGCGATACATATCTATATTAAAAATACTTGCAATACAACTTTAGTTATTTCGGTCTACAAAGAAAGCATAAGAAAGCTTGTAAAAACCCTCCCAGCTATTTTTCACTGTTTTCATTACTCTAACAATACTGTACTTGTTTCTAGAGCTCTAGAAATACATGTAAGCACAGTGAAAACTGCTATCCTTAGACAAGAAATTAATGTGCTTGGTATAGCTATTCCTTTTATTCTGATCTTGATTCCACAATAAAAGGTGAATAAAGAGTATTAAAACTGGGAAATGAAGAACCTGGAAATCTGAAAGACCAAAATTAAGGCCATACTTACAGCTTTGATGGTATGCAGTTGGCACTGTAGATTACAGTACAGCTTTACTGACAAAACCAAGCCTGGAGAGAGCAAGATGCTGTTCTCCAAACAGGGCTGGAGACTCACCCCCAGATTTCTTGTTCATTATCATTTTAAGGATACGTTCATAGAACCGCAACATAAAGGACAGATTAGGTAGACAGAGAGCTTTGAGTAGACTTACAAATTTGTTTAGCAATTTGTAGGCAACTTTAGAACTGGAGCTGTTGGGTAAAAGCTGGTATTTAAAGTTTGGAGTTGGGGAAGAATTCAGAAGCGTGAGAGGCCAATTCAATACTGTGATACGGTTATCAGGGCATTGTCTGCACATTACTAACCTGATGTAGGGCACCAAAGGGTCAACGTGGTGTAGGACGATAGCGGTGATGTATGAAAACACAAAAGATGCAGCTGACCAAACAACCAAAGACGCAGGCAAGAAAGAGAGTCCTTGCTGGAACCACCACATTGCAGAGCTGACTTCTAACCTCTGAACACTGTGAGGAATTGAATAAAAAGGTTTACTGAGAATTTTTTTTGAGGCAAGCTGCCTATTCATACAGTCTACCATTGTCAAGGATGACTCTTTACAAAGGCTATGCCAAGGTGAAGTGGATTTGATGTTGCTCTCAGACCTGTCTTGCAAACCCAATGTGAGATTTGACTTCACAGTACGGAAGCAATCACAAAGAAGCAGAAATAATATCCGGAAGTGTTCACTCTGAAATTCTTAGGAGATCATGAGAAAATAAACCAGTAGAGCCACTTTACTGTGCATCTCAGCATTTGTAGCATTTGTAGTGACTCTCTTGACCAGGAAAAGGTCAAGAGAATCACTATGAATAACTATTTTCTTCTTACCCTTGTGTCATAAAATCACAGAATCATCTAGGTTGGAAAAGACCTTCAAGATCACCAAGTCATAACACCATGTTAGAATTAGTGATGCTGACAGAGAATGTGTCCCGATAGTGACAATTTAATTGATACTGGCTGTTGTAAAGCCTAAAATTTCCACTAGCAAACAACTGGGTAGAAAATGACCCAAAATTATTTTAATATCTGTATTCATTTAGTACCTGTCATGATGTGTGACTCAACATCTGTTACAAGCATCACTTAAATAAGCTCACAGATATCAATGAGCAAAAGCTGACTGCTACCATCTGTAGCCTTCAGCCTCGAGGACTGCCTGTTCCAGGTGGAAGTGTAGCAGCTGCTTTGTCTTTAAAGGTGTGAGAAAAGGGCCCATCTACAGTGGTGTTACACTGCTACCTCTGTCCAGTTCTGTAAGCCCCAGCCTGAGAGCAGCTCCGTGCCTCTGTCACCAGCAGTCAGAGCAGTGATGTGCAGCGGTGTCACCCCGGTGAGCTCACAGAACCGGGCTCCTCTCTGCGCTGCTGCTAGAGGGAAGGAGCTTCCTACTGGCTTCAGATACGAAGTTCAGCTGAATTGCTTTCTGATTTTGGAATCACAAAATGCCTGAGGTTGGTGGGGATGTCTGGGTTCATCTCCAAGCCCCTGCTCCAGCAAGGCCACCCAGAGCAGGGTGCCCAGGACCATGTGCAGATGGCTTCAGGAGATCTCCAAGGAGGAGACTCCACAACCTCTCTGGGCGAGCTGTGCCAGTGCTCAGTCACCTTCACAGTACAGAAATGCTTCTTGATGCCCAGACAGAGCCTCCCATGGTTCAGTTTGTGCTCACTGCCTCTTGTCCTGGCACTGGGCACCAGAGAGGAGCCGGGATCTGGCTTCTCTGTGCCCTCCCTTCAGGTATTTGTACGGATTGATGAGAACCCTCTAAAGGGTTTATTTTAGGGGCTATGCTGGGGTCTGCATTTTATGCACAGAATGATACTCTGCTGACAGCATTCCCTTAAACTTACACCACTGAGAAGAGAGTACAGGAAGTGTTTAAGCATAGGTGAAACTGAAGCCTGTGAATGCAATATGAGACAGGGAAAATGAGAAGAACAAATAATAGAGTACAGATCCAAGGGCATCCAAAGATCAAACACTGTGAGAAAATGAAAATAACATTACAAGACAAAACAGGAATAAGTGCAGGACTGAGAGGTCTTAGGAGATGTGAATTGCTTGGAGTGTGAGAGACTGGGAAAAAAAAAGGAGAAAAGGGTAAGAAGCATGAAGATTAGAAAGTCTCATGGGAGGAAAAAGGAAGTTGGAACAAAAATGGGTGAATCTTGCACCAGATCAGAGCCGATCACCTTCTTTACATCTCACTTTGTAGCCCTCAGCTCTCTGCTGATGCAGCCGTACTGCACACAGCTGCTATTTGATCACAAGCATGTCTTTCCAGGGCGTATCGTTTTGCTGACCTGCTCTAGTAAGCATGTCTAGGTGAGTTTGCAGGAGGACAGTTCAATAGATTCATCAGACAATGCGTAACAATGAATAACGAACATTGCTCATTCACCAGAAACTGGTTGCTGTCCTGTGTTTGTGCTTCTTTTAAGCCTACAAAATTAGTGGTTCAAGCCCTTGAAAAGAATATGTAATTACATAAAATTAAAGGTTCAGCTGCTTGTCAGGAAGATGTTAGGTAACAGATAAACAAAGGATGTGGTTAATAAGAATGGAGTGATATAGTTGCTTACTTTCTGACCCTTAAGCTTTCGTTTTTAAACTAAATACAACATAACATTTGCCTTCTCATGTTGATTTTTATTTTATGACTGTAATGCAATAAAAATAGTAATCAATATAGGTTCACAATCACATCTCTCATATGAATAAATCAGGAATTTGCATGAAAGAGAAATGTGTGTTTTGCACAGCATTCTCTGTTACAGGTGTTACATGCCTGGGTATGTAACTCAAAACTTCAAGTGGTCAATCTGATGCTTGAATTTTAATTTTCCTTTAACGTTTAAATGTTTATAGCCTTAGATTTATTTCTGAGCTAATAGATTTGCATGAAACCAACCAACCAACCAACCAGCCACACACCTGTGAATGAGGACGTCAAAAGAAATGTCACCTCAAGAGTAATCCAAAGTCATCTTCCTGAAGTTCTCTGTTTGCTTCATTTTTTTCCTTAATCTTTGAGATAGAAAGGAAAAGAATCAAGATGTGTTACTTCTAAACATTTTACTCTATATTGTTTATTCTCTTTCTTAGCACCTTCTATTAGTCATTGCCATGGACAGGATACTGGATTAGATGGACTTTTGGCCTGACTCAAGAAGTTTTTTCTATGTTCCCAGTGCTTTAAAAAATGAAGCATGTGCATGGTGGGATGGTAGCAATGAGCGAAAATGGGTGTTGAGGACTTTTGGATTCACAGGACCTTTCTATAGAACGATTTAACTTGAAATTAGAAGCTTCCAGGAAAAAAATAGACCGCAAGCTGTTCCAATGCAACTAAAATCAACTGCCTACATCACTTTTTTCACATGAGGAAGGGGACAGAGCGTGGCGTCTTCCTGTTTCATTGTGAATGGGCGTCCTGACGTGATGCTGGTGCTGTGCTAAGCATGTGGCAGGATGGGTGCTGAAGCACGGCAGCACACAACCTGCATTGAAACAGAGATCCCACAGCTCCCGTCTTCTCTTCACATGCTGCCATTTTCACACACCAGAGATGCTGTTGGAGATGAGACACTGCGCTGTGCTCCTGATAGCTGGTGATACCTGTGAGCTTGCACAGCTCTTTGCAATAGGTGGGTGCTGGGCAGCTTTGGGGTACCAGCACCATGCGGACTGGTTGGGGTAAGTGACACAAGGCAAATTCTCTGCCCGTTGGAGTATTTGCACACGTAGACAGGTAAATTAATCTGGGCTAAGGCGAGGTTAGTAAAGCAGAGCCGCTGCTCCTGATGTGCCCCCTGGGCGTTGCTCTCCCCACTCAGAAGTGTGTCCATGCTCACCAGCAGTGTCTGCTCCCTGCTGCCGACCAGCCTCCGTTGGTCAGGACCGGGAATCACAACCCGTCCCGTCACAGCCTGCAGCCACAGCCTGGGCACAAATTACCACCGTTTTCATGTGGTCAGGTGTGCAGAGCAGTGCGGTTGCTGCAGGAGCACTCAGAGCTGCGGCCAGGAAGACTTCTTACCGTGCGTACAGCCGTGGGCTGGCACACCAGAACAGCCTGGGGATCAGAGCTGGGTTGTGCCCTGCTCCTGCCCTTCCGTGGGTACAGCCCCTGCCAAACCCGCCTGATGATAAAACCGCTTTGTAAATTTTGTCCGCTAAATTCTCCTTCTCAGCTCTGTCAAGGTCTGTCCCGAATTCTTCTCATCTCCTTTCATCTTCTTTGACGTTTGAAGCTTTTTCAGGGTAATCAAGTCATTTTTCTCACCGTTATGTGGGCAGACTGTATGCACCGGGCATGGGTTTTGCTCTACGCAGAGCGCTGCATGGGCTTACAGCACTGCCTGCTCAACAAAGCTTCAGGCTGAAGCCTCGTCGTGTCCCTGCCAGCTCACGGGGCTCTGAAGCAGGAGTGGCTGGGCGGGCACGGCTGCACAAAAAGGCATCTCAGAGCACTGGCAGCAGGATGGGATTGCCTTGCAATTTGTCAGCTGGGCAGCCCTAGGATAAATTATTATTAGCGCCTCATCCTGCCCTATTGTTTTTAACAGTAGGAAATAAAGCACGCGCAACCTCCTTGTTTTTTCAGCTAGGTCCTTTGCCAGCTGATGATATAATGGCAATGCCTGGCCTCTCTTTTCAAGTATGCTTTCTTAAATGTTTATCCCAATTTGCAGGCATTTCTGTGTCCTAAAGCAGGGGGTCAAGCCCCAGATCAACCGTCACAGGTCCTTCCTGTGGTGGATATTATTAAATTATTACCAAGAGCAAGTCAAGCGTTTTAAAAATAAGTATCTCTGAGGTTTTTCTTTAAATGCAGGAAGTGTGCACCAGCGTCTGCACACGCTTGACTTCAGCATGTGGAATAGAAACTACAGATGTAATGAAAACGAAAGGCGACTGAGACTGTTCATGGCAGAAAGTTAACGTAATGCTGAAAAGACGGCTGAAAGTATGTGTGGAAATTGGGGAATTTCTATATTAACGCTGACAACCCGGCTGTCAGCCTGCCTCTGCCCTGCTCTCCCAGCACACAGGCAGAGGTGAGGCCACACTACGGGACAGCAAAACCCTCCAGGGCTGCGTTGAAGGAAGAAAGAGAAAGCAAATTGCTGCGTGCGCTCCCTAGGTGAGCACAAAGGTTGGACGGGGACGAGCCACGGAGGGACCTGAACACGTTCATTTGTGCAACTTACTGCCGGGGTCAGCCCGGCACCAGCGGGTAAAGGTCGCTAATCCCCAGGGACTAGGAGCAAGGAGGTAGGAACCGTGTTGGCTTTGCAGGGTAACGACGGGTGACTCGTTTTGTGCAATTTTCTTAGTAGAGATGCCAAAAAAAAAGTTGCTATTAATTCTGTACATGCGGCTGAGCTTCCAGGGGGCCGAGGCCAGGACCCACACATGGTGCTGAGCCCGTGGCACAGCCTGGGTAGAAGCAGGGGGGCACGGGCACTGTGCTGCCGGGACGTACCCATGCCGATGCCGGTGTCGATGCCGGTTTTGGAGCCGTGACGTCCCGGTGGCAGCTCGTCCCTCCGGCTGACCTCGGGCACTCGGGCCCGGGATGAAGCGGGCTGGGGCTGCCGGGGGGCAGCCGCTGAAGTCCGGGAGTGCTGCGGGCAGAGCGGGGACACGGCGGGGCTGGGGGCGCTGGGGGGACTGGGGGGGACTGGGAGGAATAGGGGGGGCTTGGGGGGGGGTGGGGAGGGCTGGGGGTGAGGGGAGAGGGCTGGGGTGGGAGGGGGGCAGCTGGGGGGGCAACAGGGGAGGGCTGAGGAGGGAGGGGGCAACTTGGGGGGGGGGGCGGGGGGAGAAGGGGAGGGATGGGGGCAGCAGGAGGGGGCTGAGGTGGGGGTCGCGGGGGTCCCGATGGGGGCACTGGGGGGGTCTCGAGGGCAGCCCGGGGTGGGTGTGGGGGACCCGGGGGGGGGGGGGGCCGGGATGGGGGTCACCGGCGGGAGAGACCCCGGGGTAAGGGGGGTTGGGCGGGGCGGGGGGGCCTTGGGGGGTCCCCTGGGGGCTCTCCCTCCCCCCCCCCCCCGGGCGCTTTTACCTCGGCCGCTCCCGCGCCGGCCCCGCGGCGGTGCCGCCCCGAGCCCCGCCCCCCCGCAGGGCCCCGCCCCCAGCCCCGCCCCCTCCCCTCAGCATCGCCCCGCCCCCCAGCCCCGCCCCCTCCCAGCCCTCGCCCCGCCCCCCTCCCCCCTCTCGCTTTCCGGCTGTCGCAAAAGGTGTCGCAAAGGCGCCGCCCGGGCGAGGAGCTGAGGTAAGGCCCGGCCGCCTCCTCCCCGCTTCCCCCCCCCGGTTCCCCGCGGCTCCTCCGGGGCTCGGGGCTCGGTCCGGTGTAGGGCGGGTGGGACCGGCCTCGGGGCCGTGCTGCGGGTGGGCACGGGGCTGGCCGACCCCCCCCCTGGTCGGGCCGCACCGCACCGGGGCCGCCTCCCCCGGGCCGGGGCTGAGCCCGAGGCTGGGCCCTGCCCCCCGACCCCCGTCCCTGCCCCCTCTGACCCTCCCCTGCCCCCGGTGGGAGCCCTGCGGGGCGGCTCGGCCCGGTTCGGCCTGGGGCTGGTCTCCCCGGGGGGCTGGGTGAGGCGGGTCCCCGGTTTATTGGGCTCCAGCCGAAGCAGGGCTCTGCGTGCTGGCTTTCTCCTCTTCCCCTCGCGGTTTTCTCCGTGGGAAATTGCCCTAATTAAGCAGCGGAGGGTGGAAGCGAGAGCGCTTGGTGTTGTGCCACAGCTGACCTTTGGTTTACTTAGCTTGTTTTCCCTGCCCGGTGTGTGACTTGCTCACAGTCCCAGGGGTAACTTATCTTCCTCTCTTGGACTTCATTCTGCTTAGCAGTTAGGGCTATTTACTTATTTAGGTTGACTGTACTAGATAAATACGAGACCTTCCTTTGTAGCCTCCCTTCCTTCTATTTCTCTGCTCGTCTGTGTGGGGAGTTACGTGGTTCTGGTCACCTGCTGCCAGGAGAGAGGCAGCACCGCAAGGCTCCTTGTTGGCGCTGGGAATGCTGTTTGTGGCCCCACATCTTCTCACAGCTGGTGTCTGTAGGCTGCCTCTGACCAGCTAAAGCTTCACAGCTGCGGCATGTTCTTGCCTGTCTTAAGTGTTGAATAGACAATGAGCTTTCACCTGATTTAGGTTGGACTTGGACAAGAAAAGAGCCACCATGGCAAAACTGATACAAGCATTTCTCAGATCACTGTTTCTTATAACTGCCTTTAAGTGGTTGCTGCTCCTCAGCAAAGAGGCAAAGCTGCTTCAAACCTGTTTAACTTAAGATTTCTCTGTATTTGTTCAGTTCTTAGCACTATCAATTGATAAGCTAAGCAGGGCGCATCGGTTACACATCGCTCACGCTCCCAGGAGAGCGATGTGCAGGGCTGAATGTGCTGTAGTCTGTAACGCAAGTCAGTGGTGTGGTGTAAGCTGCTGCTGAAATTTAGGCTGGTGATTGCAGGATATTTGCTTCAGTAGGCAGCAGGAAAGGAGAACAAGTGCAACTTACTATTTTATAACTTTGTTGAGAACAGTTGCTTCCTGTCTTTCCTCAGCAATCACCAACTAAGAGAGTGCTCTTATAAAATCTTCTTTGGTTTGCTGCTGGCACATAAAACGCTCTGTGGAGCATTGCTTAGAAACTTCTGGTACCTTTAAATCCCCCCATGTTCTTCACCTTCAGTATGTCTCACCCCTTTATGTTGCAGGGTCTTATGATTCTCCGTAACAGCTGTTATCTGCCAAATAAAAATTCTGACGCCACCCGATCCATGAGCGGGCATCGAAACCTCAAGAGGCGATGTGGGGAGTCACATCTGGAATCCCCTGCGGGCTGTGGACACGGTCCTGCCGCTGGCTGCGTGTTAAGCAAACTAGTTCAGCTGCCTACACCTCCCCTGTCAAAGCACCAGCTAAAACGGTTAGAAGAACACAAATACCAGAGCGCTGGACGATCGCTGCTTGAACCTCTAATGCAAGGTTACTGGGAATGGTTAGTTGGAAGAGTTCCAGCCTGGATTGCCCCGAATCTGATCACCATCATTGGACTGTTAATAAATATCTTTACAACTCTGCTATTAGTATATTACTGCCCAACAGCTACAGAGCAGGTAAGTGGTGGGCTTCTGTCGGCCTTTGGGGCAGCTGCTGCGATCGGGCAGCAGTTGGCTCTGCTCCCTGGTGGGCTCCTGTGTTTGTGGGAGCTGTTCCTCCCTACTTAGCCCACGGCCCTGGTACGTTTAGGCTGTTCTCTGTGAATGGTTGTAATGCCTGGGCATCTAAATGAGTGCCTGCATGCAAAAGGAGCACGTGGGGATTTGGGGTTAGCATGCTGCTTGCTGAGTGATGTTAACTGGGTTCCCCGGAGGGCTGATGGAAGGGATGCCATGGGGCAATAGTCCCAACTTGAAATGGGGCCTGGTACCAAAGCAGCTCTTCTGATAGCAGCTCTGCTATGAGGATGTGTTTGAGTCCCTGTGCAGACAATGAAGAAATGGGTTTACATCTCTTGCGTGCATGGCGTGTGGAGTTCTTGGCAGTTTGCTTTCTCTGCTTGTGACTGGGTTAGTCACCTTTAGCTCTCGGAGTTGCCACACGATGAGCAATGCAAGGTGACTCGGCTGGCAGTTAGCTCTGTTTGCCGACCCAGATGGAGTTGCAACACAGTGAGCAGCCCTAGATCAGACTGAGCACCAGAGAGGTGTAGCTCAGGAGTTAGAGAGCTTCCTTCTGTGGCTGGCATGCCCAAACCCCGTGTCCTGAATGAAGCGAGTGCCCTTCTGCATCCTTCTCAGGCCCCGTGTTGCCGAGTAGCTCAGGTCAGGGCTGCAGACACGACGCTGTGTGGGAACGCGCAGTAGTCTCCTGGAGCAGTGAGCCACTTGTGGTCTGCGATGTGAGAAGGCTGGCTGAAAGCCAGGGCTGTGTTTGTTCTGGATGCACTAAAAGCTCATGACCTGTCCTCGTCAGAACTGTCTCAACTTCATGTAATTCCTGGTTTCAAGGGTACAAAGTCTTCCTAAGGGATTTCAAGTTACTAGCTTCAAAGACTTTTTTTTTCTCCCTCACTAGGGAGAAAACTCAGAGTTGCCTGATAAGGCATGGGAGAAGACTTTCATTTTTGAGCACTATAAAAGTTCTGTTACTTGAATGTTTATTGTCTTGAAGGATACTCATATGTGAATGCAATGAAAAGGATTTATCTGATACAGGAAATATATTACACACCAAATAGCTGGAGGAGATCTCATGGGTTCTAGCTTTTGAAATGTCTAGGCTTCTTTGTAACCAGAGCTGATAACTCAGGTTGGGAGAATGCTTCTTAGTCAAGTGGCATGTGGCTTCTTCCTATGTGAGCTCTCAAAAAAAAAAAAAAAAGAACAAAAAGTAAGCTGGTGCAGTCAGCCCTGCACATCCTGTTCATGTATGACATAGCAAAAGGATGTTTGCCTTCTAGCGATCTATTGGAATGGGTAGTTTTAGGGAAAAAAAAATGTGGAATTTAGGAGGTGTAAGGTGTAAAGTGAGTACTAACTTTGAGTGGTGAACGCTTAGAGCAGCTCCTTCCTTGTTCAGGCAGTGCCATTGCCACACACCTTTGTTTTAACTTGCCTCTTACTCTGATAAAGGCATCAGCCACAGAACCAGAGCATAAAGCTGAGTATGGTTGTGTTCTGGTTGGTGATAAAACTTTGGAAGTACGTGCGAAGCTACGCGGTTCGGAAGGTGATAGAGCTCTAGCTGGCTGAATTACAGCTATTGCACGTTTAACAGCTTGAGAGTTGCTTTGTGCTTATTGAATGGGTTTGTCTTCTCACTTTAGCTGCAAAATAACTTTCTGCTGAGGTAGCTTCCAGCCTGATCTAGTTTGCCATATGGCACTGCAGCCCTGCGTGCTGGCATGACAGGAAGGATGCCAGCTCAGTGGCAGAGCTGTGAGCTGCTGCTTTTAAGTGTCAAGTAGCTGTCTGGGAAGAAAATGAGACTTCGGGCTTCCAGAAACAGTTTTCTTCTGAAAGCGCTATTGCTTTCAGATGTAAATTGGGTCTGCCTTGTAGCTCAGTCTTAGCTCTGCTTTTTTCAAAAGCAACTTGGCTACACCTTTCATCAACAGGAAGAGTCATGGGAACGTAGCTCTTGCAGCTCCACTGGTAGCCAGAGGAAATGAGACGAGTTGCTCTGCTGCATGCTGAGCTGGGGGACCTCACCTAGCAAAGCTCTGAGCAATGGGAAGACGCCTGCGCTTTTGTTTCTTAAGAAAACAAAACAGGAACCAACAAAACAGGACAAACAAAAACTCATGTAAAGGGGAACCATGAAATCTTAAACAGATACAAATATCATTTAGGTAGAAATACCTACGCTGGTGATGAAAGCGCCAGCAGTCTGACTTCTGAAATCTGTAGATAAAATTGCATGACACCAAAGAAAACTTGAATGTTGTGTAAAAAGTCTACATCTGAGAAACAGAAATGTACCCACGCGTGCTCCTTTTCTTTTTGGGTCACGCATTATCCCCTTATCTCTCGTTCTTGTGCTAGTTTGTATAGGTGCCTCGCTAAAAGCAGAGCGTGGTGCCAGCTTCTGAGGCAGGAGGAGCTGTTTTGCTGCTTACTGTAGCAGGAACAATGCAAGAGAATAATGTGATGGGCTACAGATGAATCAAGGTTGTGTAGACCAAAAGAATGCAAGCCTCAGAGCTTTATGAGAGGCCAGGCAGCTTGATTAAGCCTCATAGCTCTGTTTGGGCTTTGTTGAGGTGTAAAATACAGCTGCTCAGAAATGATCACTTTTATAAATGTCAAATGTGAAGATTGCAAAATAACCAATAATACCTGTTTATACACCCATAAAACTGAGAGTGAGTAACTAATGGCAGCCCTCTGGCTTTTGTGGTGGTGGTGAATGCTTGGAACAGCAAAAAGCTTGATTTGTAGGCTTTGGTCTAGCAGGGATTTGATACCTTGCTTTCTTCAGCAGATGTAACAATTGCTAGACATGATATGGGTATTAAGAGTTATTAACATGGATTTGGTAAAGCTGCTGATGTGTGGTAGTCAAAAATAAAATACTTGGTAGTAGAGGTGCTGCGTTAGGGAGCCCTGAAGCTTTACAGGTCTCAGGAAACACAGTGGCTCAACTTGAAGTCTAACAGTTTGAGCACTACATGGTCACGTAGCTCTCAAATACCTCTGCAGCCCGGTAATGCCCTGTATTTGGCAGTGTTTTGGGACGTGACACCTTGTTGAGGTCTTGTGAAGATGAGCTCAGCGTTTGTGAGGCAGCTGCATGTTTTGGGGGCTAAGAAAGCATGCAAATCTCTACCTCACTCAAAACAACTTACAAATTCCTCTACAGGAAATAGAAACTAGACAAGAGCTTAATTGTGCCCCACTTTGCATATGCAGTTCTGTCTTTTTCAGATGCACAGAGCGGTTTCCTGCTTTAGAATATGCACTATACCTGTTAATCTGAGCTGTAACTTCTGTTTTATTAACATTTCACATGCCATAACCCCCTCTGCCTGCCCCTGCACGGGCCAGCTACTGGAAGGCCCATGCATGCGACTTGGTAGATTTCTAGGTAAGAAATTGTGTGCAAATGCAAAGCTGTAAAATGAGTTTAAGGTGTTTTAAACCAGAAGGATTAAGTTTAACATTAAACTGTCTTTTACCCTCACTGATAATTTCTTTCTTAGGCACCTCCCTGGGCATACATTGCCTGTGCATGTGGCCTTTTCATTTACCAGTCTCTGGATGCTATAGATGGGAAACAAGCAAGAAGGACAAATAGCAGTACTCCGTTAGGAGAGCTTTTTGATCATGGCTGTGATTCGCTTTCCACAGGTATTGTCATTTTTACTTAAGTATTGAGGATTAAGTGACTCTATTTCAGGGGGTCAAATCTGGAATAGAAGAAAATGTTCCTTTACTGAAGAAGTGGACCACTGATGTTTCTGGTGGTTTAGCTTCTCAATCAACTTTCTTTCGATAGATCAACTGAATGCCTTCTCTTGTGTTATGCTGAAAATTAAGCATGTGACTTATTCAGTCTGAGCCAGCAATTTTTTGTGTATGCTTTATCAGTCTTGGTTCTGAAAATTTACTGAAAAAAAAAAAGCTAAAGTGCTCTTCTATATTAATTTAGATCTAATTTATACAGAACAATTGCACGTATGGAGCCTGAACAATGGGACAGTGGAAGTCTGAGTTTGATTAGTGTCGGTCAGATCAGTTCCTTTCTAGGTAGGTAGAGTTCATTGGGCCAGCCTGAAGTTTAATCCCGTTGCAAAAGAATGATCGGATGCTTTAGAATTTAAATAACTGAGAGCTCTTATGAATTATATTTCTATTAGTATTTTATCAAAGTTGCGTGTTAAAATAAGTACAAATGCATAGATACCTTACAAATCTTAAATGGTAAACCTTGGATTTTCTTAGTGGCATAAAACTTCAGAAAATGGGGAAAAACACGTTCAGCAAACCTTGGATACAAGAGAAAACCCCCAAACTGTCCACAGGCTCCAACTGCATAAATTGCTCAAGTCTGTTGATGTCTAATCTCATTAACTTCAGTGAAAATATAAGAGACTTAGAAACCCTGAAATTGAGGACTTCTGAAAACCGATAAGACTTCTAATATGCTCTTTACAGTCTGTATTTTCAATGGAAGTGATCAACTCTTATAAATGTCTATGAAGTAAAACTCATCAGGATACCTGCGCACTGTTGCTCCTGTCTGGGTCCTTTGTTAGATTTGCTTTTGGTAAGGATCTTTACACACATACGCACTTTATGTTTTTACCATGTGACTGATTTTCTTCTGCAGTCTTTGTGGTTTTGGGAACTTGTATTGCTGTGCAGCTGGGAACGAACCCTGACTGGATGTTCTTTTGTTGTTTTGCTGGAACGTTCATGTTTTACTGCGCACACTGGCAGACGTACGTCTCTGGAACGCTGCGTTTTGGCATGTAAGTACCTTGGCTGAAAATAAAACTGAAAGTTAAATGGCTTTTCTGTCTAGTTCCTCTTTGTGACTGTAGTTCAGATTGTTTAGAGTGGTAGTAAACTGTTTATGTGCTTAAAGCTTGTAATAGTTACTACCTATTATTGCATTATTCAATAGCTGTTGAATCCACAGTTAATACTGAATGTTCCTTAGCTTGTTCTAGGAGTGGTAAAGTTTCTTTTTTTCACGTTAAGAGCTCATGATGTGATTTAAACCTAAATAGGGGAAAATACATGGGGCTTCAGCCCTGATATTTGGCTGCCTTTGTCAGATGGTGGCAAACTGACTTAACTATCTCTCTTGATATTCCTTGACTTTTGATGATGTATAGTTAATCTTTGCTGTTAAGCATAACTCTTAAATACAGTGTATTAATTGACATTGTGGCTGAAAGTTGAAAATCTGAGTCTGTTTTAGTAAAGATTGGTTCTGTTAATAATGGTGCAGAAATGCGATGCCTAGAAAGTCAACAGCCAAAGTCTCATTTGCTTGTACATGAAGGTAGGTGGGCAAACAGCTCCCAAGGACTCGGTGAGCTGTGGGATTCACCAAGCTTCATGCAGAAGCATACATTTGTTCTACCTCTGCACTTGTGTCATGTAATCTAATAAATATATTTCCAGTTAACAAGCTGCAGAATGAATTTGCATCTGAAAACTTCTGAAATTTGCTCCTAGTGTGGGATCTTGAAACAATGCTACAACGTGCACTGTTTACTGAGTCTGTTACTGAGTTATCCATATCTCAGATACTGCTAAAACAGCTCAGTTACGGACATCTAGTCTGTAGCAGCTCTTACTGGCAGAATACTAATACAGATTCTCTTGAGAAGCTTATTTCTAAACTGCTGTTCTAATTCCGACTGTACCAAAGCAGAGTAGTTTCAGTCAATAGTTTCTGATACTTAGATCTTGATGACATCTGACTCATAACCTGTACGTTCTTAGGCTTTTTTTCTTTTATGCTGTGCTGGAGCTCTCAATACTGAATGTGTTTTAGCTCCTTTTCAACATTATGGGGCCCTGATAATGAAAGTTCTTGTTTTTTGACTGAAAACAGGAAAAAAAAAACTTGGCATGTGCTTGACTGTACAGATGCAAGCAGCAAGTCTACCTGATTTGTCTTTTGTGCTCTAGACAAATGGGTGCATTGCTCCTTGTGTTCACTGTAATGTTTGTTCTTAGATTTTGTGAGGAATCTTTATATTTGGAGACACCGAATCCTGTGTTCTGCATGGCTGTATATTATGAAAACCTGATGATCCATTGATATGTAGAGAAGGCAATAAACACACAAATATGTATCATTATTTCAGATAACAGATAATGTTGTAAACACATCTGTTTCTTCATTTGCACAGTGTCATAAGGTTAAGACTGCCACAAGCTGACGTTCATTTCTGTGGCAAGAAAATCTGAGATTAGATCTGAGATCCTGTTAACCACTTCTCACTTTGGTATGATTTTTTTCTGAAACTTCCACCTCCCCAGATGTAAAACTGGAAATGCATCAGTATTGTACCTACCCTGCCAGGGCCTGATGTGTGCATCCTATCCCTCCCTGGTGGTCTAGTGGTTAGGATTCGGCGCTTTCACCGCCGCGGCCCGGATTCGATTCCCGGTCAGGGAAAATAGTTTTTTTTGATGGGCAGAGGCCAACAGGATGAGGTTCAACATGGCTCAGTGCCGGGTCCTGTGCTTTGGTCACAACAACCCCACGCAGCACTGCAGGGTGGCTAGAAAGCTGTGCAGAGGAAAAGGACCTGGGGGTGTTGGTCAGTGCTCACCTGAACATGAGCCAGCAGTGTGCCCAGGTGGCCAAGAAGGCCAACAGCATCCTGGCTTGTGTCAGGAACAGTGCAGCCAGCAGGGCCAGGGAGGTGATGGTCCCCTTGTATTCTGCTCTGGTGAGGCTGCACCTCGAGTGCTGTGTTCAGTTCTGGGCCCCTCACTACAAGAAGGACATCGAGGCCCTGGAGTGTGTCCAGAGCAGGGCTACGAGGCTGGTGAAGGGCCTGGGACACAAGTCCTGTGAGGAGCGGCTGAGGGCACTGGGGGTGTTTGGGCTGGAGAAGGGGAGGCTCAGGGCAGAGCTCATTGCTCTCTGCAGCTCCCTGAGAGGTGTGGGGAGCTGGGGGTCGGCCTCTGCTCGCAGATAACCAGGGTCAGGAGCAGAGGGAACGGCCTGGAGTTGTGCCAGGGGACGTTGAGGTGGGCAATGAGGAGCCATTTCTGCTCAGACAGAGCGGGCAGGCGTTGGGACGGGTTGCCCAGGGAGGTGGGGGAGTCCCCGTCCCTGGGGGGGCTCCAGGAGAGGTTGGGGCTGGTGCTTGGGGACATGGTTTAGTGGGTGACGTTGGTGGTAGGGGGACAGTTGGACCCAGGTGATCTTGGAGGTCTCTTCCAACCTTAACGATTCTGTGTTTCTATCCACAGGTAAACGCAGGCTTAGGCATTCTTGCTCCTGAGTAAGTGGAATCAGAGACAGCTGTTGAAAGGGGCTGCAAAGGTCTTAGTGCACAGTGACTTGCTCCCATCTGTGTATCCTAAGTAGTAACTGAGAAACTGTCTTTAATTAGAGATCAACTCAGTAGGCAAGCCATAAATGGCTCAACACAGCAGCAGGCTGATGAAGACAGGTTAGTATTTCATTCCTTAAATGCTATTCAACAGTTAAGTATATAATTGGCTTGGTTTACTGAAAAAGTCCATCTGTAAAGCAGGAGTGTTCACCCTGAAGGAGGAGAAAATGGGATTGCTTCAGCTAAATTCCTAGAGAGTATTGCAGGTGGAGCAGGAAAACCATGAGTTTAATTGTGCCCAATTACTGAATACACCAACTACTCTGGTTCTTTTTCTTCCTACTAACAGCATCAGGGCTGCCCTGGACTGCTCTAGGCTTGTTCCCAGCGGTCTGTCTCCATCTTTAAATGATGATTATACTTTTATTAGATCTTGGCAGCTGATGCGTTTTTCGAAGAGCAATTTGAATTGGTTAAATAACTCAAAAAATAGCTAGAGGTCAGCATTGTGTAAAAATCCACTGTAAGGAAGTTGTTTTTTTTCTTAAAACAAACTGGGTAGGTAACAGTAAAAGTCACCGCAGTAACATCAGCAGTGCAAAGGGATTAGGACGCAGCCCGGATAGAGTTAAGTGGAAGCCTTGCTGAAAAGCAGGCATCTCATCTCACCTGGGAATGGGCTCATGAAGGAGCAGGAGTGTGTTGTACTCTTGAAGACATAAAACAGTGGTTTGGGAATGCAGGAGAATATTGAGTTCTGAAGCAGTCCAAGCATTTGCTTTTCCTGTCCTGTTTTTCAGCACAGTAACTGGTTTATCTGGATTGTGGACTAGCTGTGCACAATACAGAATGAGTTTTGTTTCAGGCTTAGTCTTGGATGGTGCAGCATAACTGGGGCATCTCTGGTTTGGAAAAAGTGCATTTTTGCACAAAAATCAAACTGGTAAGTCCAATTACACTGCCATGTGTCAAGGTAGAACCAGTTCTCATATTTTAGGAACACCATGCCGAAATCAAGAGCATTCAGGGATATTGTTCACAAACCTTGAAAGGAATTTGCATGCCATTATCTGGAGCCCTGTTTTGCTTACTGGCTCCGGTTCTTCTCGACCCAGCGTTAATGTTGCTCGGATTCTGTTCTGCAGCTGCTCATTGCTCTGGCTTTAAGAAATGTATTAGGAGATGTCAGTTACACAGGTTCAGTTCTGCATTTAACCTTGTCAGTGCACAGACAGTCTGACTGCAGCAGCTGCCTCAAATCCATGGTAGTTGGAAGTGAAGCAGGAGCTATCAGGCTCCGTCAGAGCTGAGCCAGGTTCTGCACTGCACGCACCTCAATTGCTGCCGTAAGGGGCATGAACCACAGCTCATGGCACAGAAGGACAGGTGAGGGCCTTGTATGCTTGGCCATGCTGGGCTGGGGCAAGCTAAAAATCATATTGTAAAAACCCAGTGGGCACCCGTCAGAGGGTGCTGCTGCACCGTCACTTCCAGCATTTCTCCTGTGGGTTATCTGACTTACCCCAACCTTTCTTAACTGAAATATGGAAAGCTGGCAATAGTAGATGTTATATATACAAACAACGAGATGAAACATCCTTAGAAACTAATGCCCATAAAGACTTATCAGTAAACACTGAGAGGAAGGAACAGTTCTTACTAGCTTTCATAGAACTGACAAGTTAAAAATGTTACTTCGCTGCTTGAATAACAATCCCTAGAGAAAGCAGAAGAATTCAAGCTGTCTAATGAAACAGCCATTAATGAGGAATGTTGGAGAACTTGGGGGAACATTCTTCTTCAGTGATGCTGCAGCACTTGTAAAAGCCCACTTGATAACAGGATGGTTTCAGAAGGGAGGAAGATTGAATTGGTTAATCTGAGCCCTCCTGTCAGTACTACCACTGAGGTAGATGGGAGAGACTAGTAAATAAGGCCGTATTTCCAGAAATACTAAAATGAAACCTTCTTTATAGCAGTTAGAGAAGGAGCTAGTGTGTTGTCCCAGATAGACAATTCACACCAAATGTCAAAATACAGAGATGGAAGCCTTCCAAGCCAAGGAAGCTTACTTAGCACATGGAGTACTTGCTGTAGGGAACGGTTCCAGGATATTGGGATTCCAGGAGATAAGGCAGTAATTGCCATCATCGTAGGGCTCAGTGCGTGCAATTTTGAGTTTTGCCAACAGTTCTTCAAGAACAACAACACTTGTTATTTGCATAGGGGAGTTTGAAGCTTGGTCTTGATGTCAGGGAGGACTTTGTTTCTCTATGCTTGCGGGAAGTATGTGTTGAAGTACAGTTGTGGTAGGTGGCGTTTGCTGCTTGCAGCCAGCCTTCTGTGTACTTCAGTTACTCACTGCCGTGTGTGGCAGCCTTTCACTAGTGCTCTGTGTGTCATAAATATGCATAAGTGCCTTGCTGCAGCATGATCATACA